AAAGTTCCACGAGATTTTCGGCTTAAGGCATCTGCTACCACATTTGCCTTGCCCGGATGATACTGCAAGTCAAAATTATAATCTTCTAAGAATTCAACCCATCTTCTCTGTCTATTGTTCAAGTCTTTTTGGGAGAAAAGGTACTTGAGACTTTTATGATCCGAGTACACCTCTAATCTCTCACCATACAAGTAGTGTCTCCAACACTTCAAAGCAAATACAACTGCCGCCAACTCCAAATCATGAGTAGGGTAATTGTACTCGTGAGTCTTCAACTGTCGAGACCTATAAGCCACTACTCTACCATCCTGCATCAACACACACCCTAAACCATCATGTGAAGCATCACAATAAATCACATAACCCAAGCCATGCTCAGGTATCACCAACACTGGAGCCATAGTCAATCTTGTCTTCAATTCCTGGAAAGATGACTCACAGGCTTCATTCCATGCAAACTTAATCTTCCGGGTTAAACGGGTCATAGACGCTGCTAAACGAGAGAAATCTTTCACAAATCTCCGGTAGTAACCCGCTAGACCAAGAAAACTACGGATCTCAAACACATTCTTGGGTTGCTCCCAATTTAAAACAGCTTCAATCTTTGATAGATCAACTGACACTCCACCTTCTGAAACAACATGTCCCAAAAACTTCACCTCTTGTAGCCAAAATTCACATTTCTCATATTTGGCATACAGTTGGTGCTCCCGCAAAATTTGTAAAACAATACTTAAATGGATCTCGTGTTCCTCCCGAGATCGTGAATACACAAGAATGTCATCCACGAAAACTACCACAAACTGGTCCAAGTAATCATGAAAGACGCGGTTCATTAAGTCTATGAATGCCGCTGGAGCATTAGTCAAGCCAAAAGGCATAACAAGGAACTCATAGTGTCCATACCGTGTACGGAATGCTGTCTTCGAGATATCCTCATCCATAACCCGCAACTGATAATAGCCAGACCTCAAGTCAATCTTGGAGAAACAACTGGCTCCCCTCAACTGATCAAATAAATCATCTATCCTTGGCAAAGGATACTTATTCTTGATGGTGGCACGATTCAACTTCCGATAATCGATGCACAACCTCAAAGAACCATCTTTCTTCTTAGCAAACAAGATCGGTGCGCCCTATGGTGACACACTCGGTCAGATGAAACCTTTCATCCTTAAATCATCAAGCTGTCTTTTTAATTCCTCCAATTCAACTGGTGCCATACGATATGGTGCCATAGAAATCGGCGCGATACCTGGCATTAACTCAATAGAGAACTCCATTTCTCGGTGTGGAGGCAATTATGTCAAATCCTCCGGAAACACATCCAGAAAATCACGAACAACTGCAGGATAATATTCTTCCACAACATCATCCTCTTCGGCTATAAGGCTAGCCAAAAAGTAATCACCACGACTCTGTCCACGAATTCCATAAAACGATGAAATGTGGGAACCACTCCGATCTCCCACGAAAAAGAAACAGTCTCCCTCGGGAGTACAAACTGTAACCCTTCCTCATCGTGGCATGAAAGGAAGCTAACTAATCCATCCCGAGAATGACATCAAGGCTAGTCATCTCCAGGAGGATAAGGTCAAACACAAAATGTAATACCCCTAGTTTTGAAAGGGATATAATCGGAATTTTATTATTTATTTTATTGTTTTCAGTATTTATTTTATTATTTTTAAGTGCTTATGTGGGTATGTGTGGAATTTGAATGACGTGTTGTTTGAATTGATTTGTGGATTTAATTTAATTATATGCTTAATTTTTATTTAATTTTTTTAATTGGTATTTTTAATTAGATTAAATATGTATTTTATTTTTGGTTTAAAAGGATGGGCTTGGACAGTAGCGATGGACCAACCGGTTGGGTCTCATGGACTACTCGGATAGGAGAGTAACGGGTACAGTTAATATCCATGGATGATTATACATATATTTTTTGGTAAATGTGTATATAAGGTATATTAAATTAATAGGATTTTAGGGTTGTATATAACCATGAAATCTGTAGCCGACTTATATATTATTTATTTTATATTTTGTTTTATTTTCTTTTGTTTTTAGTTTCCTCCTAGAATTAAAATTAGGTTTTCCAATACACCTATAAATATATTGTGTTACGGCTGGTTAGGGTTGAAAAATAAAACACAGATCTTATTCACGTTCTGGGATATTAAGAGGAAACAGAGAGAGGTTTTTGAGAGAAACAGAACAAGTTGTGAGGTTTTCCGGCTGGGGCTTCAAGGTCCGACCTAGGAGAAAGGAAGAGCAGAAGTAAGGGGAGGCTAGACAGTAACTCAGTATTGCTGGAACAGTGGACACGATGCCGGAATTTCATAACTGAAATCACAGGTAAGTTCTTTCCTTTCTCTCTCCCGTTGCCTGTGTTCTGTGCATCCTTAGACTGTCTCTAGGGTTTTAATTGATCATTAATTAAATTATACATGCTTGTTATATGCTAAATTAGATGTCTGTATGTGTGGAATTATTCTGTTAAAGTTCTTATGCCTCTGGTTTATAGTTTGGAGTGGAAGCATGCTTAATCGGTTAAGGTTTTAAACACTGTAATTGAATTGGACTATTATGAACAAGTCATGGGGATGATATTGGGTGTAAATAGGATTCTTAAACTCAGTATTAAAGATGAACCGAAGGTAGGGAATAGCCGGAGACGAAGCTAATAATCAAAACGGAGCAACAGAGCAAGAAAAGTGAGCGGAGAAGGCTCTCAGAGAGGGAGAGCTGGCTCTGGGAGCAAAGAGCCGGCTCCAAGGGTTGTGGGAGCCAGCTCTAGGAAGGTTAGAGTCTGCTCCAATTATTTGGAGAAGGCTCTGTGGTCCTTTAGGTGTTCTGAAGCAGTTTGGGGCTTGTTTGGTTCAACTGTGGGTTTCAGAACTGTGTTTAGGCTACTGAGATGGTTTTAAACACTAAACCATGGAATGTTAATACCCTAGGATGTATAAAATTATTTATATGCTAAGGTTTTAAACTGTAGGAAAAATCTAGGGAAAGTCACAACAGTTTACGGACTTGACGGACTGGAAGGATTTAATGGTGCAAACGGTGTCTAGAAATTAAAAAGGGATATAACATGGATTCTAATCATTGTACCATGCTACATTAGAGCCACACTTGATAAATTAATATCTCTGAACTCATGGATTTAACTGTAGGAATGTATACAGCAGTGCAGGTTGTTAACGGAGGGAAGAGGTTAATTTGCTTAATTTAGTTTTAGCAATTTAATAGAGTATGTATATATTTATAAATTTGGTTGTAGGTGCATGCTAGGATCATTTAATTAACAAGTGTGATCTATGCATATCCTAGATGTTAGTTGTTGAAATATATAGTATTTCCTTGCAATACATGGATTTGAGTTAGGGATTTTAATTGTTGTAACATTAAACACTACTCTGTAATTATTTGGATTATGGTTTTTAAACTGGATCATGTTTTGGATGTTAATTGTTGAAATTTGATATATTATTCTACAATTAATTGGAGTATGGTTTTGAACCTTAATTGCTGAAATATTATATAAATTATTCCGCAGTTAATCTGGATTGTGGTTTTGGATATTAAAATTGTTGTACTTTTATTCATAGTCTGTAATTTACATAGTTTTGGATTTAAATTGCTGAAATACTCTTCTGCAATTATTTGGAATGGTTATGGACTGTAAATTGCTAAAATATTATTTAATTGTTGTAATTTACATGGATATGGAGGATTGTATGCACCGGTATGGGACGGTGACATACTTGGTATGGTTTAGCTCAAAACGCTAATTCTTACCTTATGGATTTTAATTGGTGAACAGTTTTACCTGTTCAACCAATTATATGGATTTTGTGGATTGTATACACCTGTATGGAACGGTGGCATACTAGGGACAGACTGTTTCAAAATACTCAGTCCTACCAATTTTGGAATAAGGGTACGGGTTGTTAAATAAAATCCTCCTTATATATATGAGTCGGTGCGGTTGAATACGCCGAACGACTTACTGGATTTCTTATGGATGAATGTGAACGGATTTTATATATATTGTTATGGTACCGTGACATGAGCTTGAGTCTTATAGTCAACGGTTAGGGAGCGTATATGCAGTAAGATGCGTAGCTAACTATGTTGGTTGAGATATACCCTTTTAGGCTTAGGTAGTCATGCACACTCAGGTGCGTATTGCATGTTGCCTTCTATTCAGGTTGAGACCCTCAGCATAGTTTAGTGAGAGTCCTGTAGTGTGAATATATATATTTATCTATTACGGACTATATAGATATGGTTGGGACATCTAGGATGTATCTGCGTATCGGGTCTCTATTTGGATTGTAGTTAGGATAAAACTTGTTTGTGGGCCTGACCCACTATTATTTTTCAGGTAACGGACGGTTCCAAGTCTTAGAGCTTGTTCGTGCTGAGCAGAGACGACTACTCATTCTACCGACGATGTAGGAGGTTCTTCATGGTTTAGCAGTGGACTTCTTTTTAGTTGTTCGCTTCCCAGTATTGGTTTTGATTAGGGGTCCACCAGATGGATTCCCGAGTTGTATTAGAATTGGAAAAGTTAGATGTATCAGACTAGTTCTTGTTTATAAAATTTATTCTGAAGTTTTCAATAAAGGATTTTCATTTAGTTTCTTTCCAGCGAATTTTATTTACTCATGTTTATCTTAATTATATTCTGTGTTCGATTATTGCTAATTGGTTTGATATCCTTGGGTAATCGGGCGTGGGCCTGGCCAACCCGCATCCGGGAATCCGGGGGTATCACACAAAAGTCTGCCCGGCTATCACAATGGAACAGTCCCTCACGACTCAGCTCAAAGACACTGAAACTCCAACTGGCGTATCAACACACAACGCCTGATCCATAAAACTGACCTCTAACCCCGATGCAAGTGCAAATGATGATGAAATGAAAGAATAAGATGCACCGGAATCAAACAAAACATGGGCCCAAGAACCAAACACTGGAAATATACCTCGGAGAACTGAAGATCCAGGAGATGCATCAGTCGGTGCAAGGGCAAAGACACGCCCCTGCGATGCCTGTGCCTGTGAACTACTAATCTGAACACCAGACTGTTGTGCCGACACAGTAGGAGTATCCCTCCTAGCTGGTCGTGAACCCTGAGAAGACAAGGCAGGCTGTGGTGGTGGCGGTGGTCTGAAACCTGATTGAACTGTAGCCGACTGTGACAGCCTCTGCTGTGACCTTCTGCCACTAATGGTGCCTGCTCCCTGACTCGGACAGTCCTGAATCAAAAGGCCCTGCTGGCCACACACATAACAAGCCTTCGGAGCTAAAGAAACTGAAGTCAACCTCATAGGACAACTGGACTTGTAATGCCCAGGCTACTGACATTGATAATAAACACCTCTACCCTTGTCAGATCCAACTGGCATAGGAGTGGTAGGAACAGATCGTGTAGATTGTTACCCTTGAAACTGAAATGAACCACCCTTGTTCTTCTTCCAAGAAGATCCTTCTGAGGATGGCCCTGCACCCCTCTTCTGCTTCCACTGTTCCCTTCTCGCATCCTTATCTCTGTTATCCGCTTCTAACATTAAAGCCCTTTCCACTGCTTCAGAATATACCTTGATGAACTGTGCCATGATCAACGGCCTCATCTGATCATTAAGACCAGAAATAAACTTCCGAGTCTTGTTAACTTCATCTTTCACCATTTTTGGAGCAAAGCGAGAAAGTGAAGTGAACTTGTTTTCATATTCTGCCACTGACATACTCCATTGGACAAGGTTATGAAACTGGTCTTGTAACTCCTATCTTTTGGAAAGCGGAAAGTACTTTTTATAAAATAATTCCTTAAACTTGTCCCAACTCATCTCCTCCACCTTGTACCGGCTCGTAACCGACTTTCACCATAATTTGGCATCCTTAGCAAACTTATAAGTAGCTAGGATGATCTTCAAATGATCCTCCGTCACATCCATTGAAATCAATTGAGTTTCAACTTGCTCCATGTAGTCATCCGATATCATTGGATCTGCACCGCCCTCAAACATAACCGGTATCAGCTGAGAAAACCCCTTAATAATCTTGAGACGCTTCTGAGCTGGCGTCTCCTCAACTTGAACTGTAGGTTGTAGTGCCGACTGCGACTGAGCAGCAATCGTTGCCCTCATGACATTTTGCAACAAACGATTCAACTCCAGTGCCACAGAACCTTCACCCACTTCTACAGGTGCTTCAACATTATCCCTCATTGTGGGGACAACTCTCGGGGGAATCAAGTCCCTAAGAAGTGTGTCCTCATCATTTAGCTCCTCCGGATTGGAGCTGGAGCTCTCGCCAACATCACCTCTAGTCGGTCTAAGGCCAACTTCCCTGATTTCCTCACTCCGTGACATCGTTCTATAAAACAAAGGAAACAATTCAATAACGATAACACTAAGGTCCAATCGTGAATAACCCAACGCAAAAAGATACTGTACAAACATTTAGCATGTAATACTATGCAATGAACACATTAATATAGGCATATAAGCACATAAGCACGTAAGCAAGTAAACAGTTAAGCATGCTTTTTCAAATAGCAAAACACTTTTCCAAACAAGGAAATAACAATGCAAATGACTTCCCAGATAACCTTAGGTAAGCTTCTACCCGTCGTCCTAATGGTATTCGAACCATCGCTCTGATACCAAATTTGTAACGACCCTAGCTGATGCCAAAATTTTAAAAAAATTCGGCAGAACCTCCCCTAAAAATGGGCTTTTAACAACCTGTCCCAATACACAAAACACATAAAATCATCCAGCATCCCATTCATCCATTCATTATACCTCAACATAGTTCCTCTCATGGTGGAGCATCCACACACCAATTAATCTAAATTAACACAATTACAGTCCCAAAATACATGGTTAAGATTTAAAGTCACTGTCTTACAACGTTACATGATACAATTGCATGGAAACATATACCATAATTCCATTAGTTTCATTTACATCAAACAAAAGATAAGCTCGTTCTTAAGTTACAAGGCCATGAATACTAACTTAGTTACATCCCCACAACTATGAATATATATAAAACGGTCAAAATACAAAATAGCAAACAACCTTCTAACAACTTTCAAGCTTGAGGTGGATTGTCGTCCACCGGTTCATTTCCAAGACCTGAAAAAAATAATATAAATAGTAGGGTGAGCATAAAGCTCAGTAGGTGACACTTAAGACATAATTCTTGTGTCCTTGTGAATCTAAACAAAGCATAGGCCAATGGGAAATAGGGATCATGCAATATAGGGAATTAAAACAATATGCACGTCAATTCCAATTATAAACCATGCAGTGCAATGAAATGCAATGCATGCTAATGTCACTCCCCATTTTCATTCACAAAACCATCACTTTCAAATGTTAATACAGCCCGCCCTTTGGTAACCCCGCCGCGACACGAGAGGAGGATTGGCTATCGTCCCTAGACCTTTGGTAACCCCGCAGCGTCATCGAGGGGCCCGAATAGCTCAACCACGCTAGGGCGACTCCCTAGTCCCCTCTAGGCTATATTAACCTCCGGCCCGTTGGTAACCCCGCAGCGACCAGGTTTATCAAAACTATTTGACAAAACTCTTCTCCCAAAATTTTCCCCATTTTCATTTCAAGACAAATTCTCCCATTTCATGCATCCCAATGACATGTGCATGGATGTACATATAATCTCAATATTATGACAATGGGAAATTTGGCACAATCTAAATAAACATGTTCTCATTTGTCATTTTCAGCATGTTAACACATAGTGGGCATGATAAAGCAACATCTAAACATATTTTACACATGAAACAAGTCATAATCAAGCTCTTGAAAATTCTCTAGACATCATTCATACAATCATAGATACAATTAACTCCCAATTAAACATGTTTGACACAACAAGGAGGTGTAATTCACAATAGAACAAGAAAGGAGTGGATTAAGATGCCCCTATCTCAAAATGAGCAAAATCCCTAGAAATGGGTTCTTAAATTCGAGCTCCCAAAGAGGACCAAAAGCTGGAATTTCTGGTACTAGCACGTAGAGCTCGTCGTGCTTGTCGTTTTGCCTCAAACGGCTGTCAAATCTACCAAGGATTGAGAGAGCAATCAAGATTTGAAGTTGTAAAAGAAAAAAGAAAAAAGAAAATAAAGAGGAACAGAGAGGCTGTGGGAGAGAAGAAAACAGAGAACAAGAAAAAACGAAAAAAAAAAAAGGTGGGACCCACAGCTTTTGTAAAGTGGTCATAAGACCACATTTTTTGTTATGACCACATTTTTTTTTTCCCACCTTTTTTTTTTCTTTTTTATTTTTTTTTTTATTTTTTTTTTTCTTTATAACTTACAGATATTACAATTTGACTAACTATCCATGACCACAAGGCACCTCCAAGGCGTCGCATTCGGCCTAGTTAGTTCAACCATACTCTCCTCAAGATTACACTAACAACACGGACCACTAGGCACCTCCTAGGCATCTGGTTTTTCGCAAACTTCTTTAAAAAAATATTTTTCCCAAGAACAAATTCATTTATCTTAAAACATTTTTCCCCCTATTTCTTCCCTAATGGATGCATGAATGCTTTATGTTTCATTTCATCAATTCAACTATAATGTTTCCACATACCTTTTCAAATAAATTAATAAATTACTAAAAATACAGAACTCATATTCTCATCCCACATTTTGATAGCAATTTAAATATACAATTCACAAATTTATTTCCATAATTATAACATAAATTTTCATATCAATTGAAATCATGAAAACAAACCAACACTAAGCATGCTTCTTTACAAGTTAAAAATCATCATACTAATAAGTCCAATTAATACATAACACACATTTATCACCATCAATACAAATAACCCTAACAAACATAATCACAAAAATTAAAATTAAACATGCTTCAAGTCAAATTAAAGGTGAAAATTCACAAGAAATCCAAGAAATAGTGGATTAGAGCACCCTTATTTCAATGGAAGTGAAAACCCCCAAAATCCCCAAATCCAAGCCCTAATTTTGTAATCCCTAGGCTTGGCCAAATGGTGATTGGCTCTTATCAAATTGACGGTCTCGACGAGCTCTCCAACTTTGCTTCACAAAGTTTTACCAAATTCCAAAGGAGTAAAGCTAGATCAAGCCTTGAAATTGCAAAAAGAAAAAAAGAAAGGAAACTGCCGAGGGTACGAACGATGCAGCAGATAGAGAGAAGCCAATGGGTCTGCGTAATGGCCTTTTGTTATGTTCTTAATATATTGGTGGGGCCCACTTACTTTTTAAAATAAAAGAATTATTTTATAACTTTAATATATATGTATATGTATATATATATATATATATGTAATTATAACTATTACAATCTATTGAAAACCCTAGATTGAGGAACAAAGAATCTTCCCTCTCTTAAAAAAGGGTTGTCTCTCTGCCATATAACAACTCCATATTTATAACCAATATAGGAGACCAATGTAGTATAGTAAGTAGAATGCTTTTAGAAATTTTATTTCAGTATATATTCATGATAATGAGTACATGATTTTAATTTACCATATATATATGCTGCAACATTTTTTTTCGCCAAGATTATTCATACATCATTTCATACCTTTTTTTGGGTCAAACAGCAGAGGACATGGGGATGGCAATCAACTCCAAATCATATTTTCTCTTAGAACTTATTCCAAATATCTCTGTCATGTTGAGTTCTTCTGATTTGATTCCATTAGGGAGTCTCCAATCAAAATGATAGAGCAGCCGAGCAAGTGCAAGTTCAATGCTTGCCATAGCAAATGATATACCGGGACACATCCTCCTACCTGCACCAAATGGGATGTATTCAAAGTTAGTCCCCTTGAAACTAATGGGAGAATCAAGGAATCTCTCTGGTTGAAAGCAATCTGCGTCGACCCAATGTTTTGGATCTCTATTTATCGCCCACATGTTGATCAACACTTTGGTTTTAGCCGGTATCTCATATCCATGAATTTCACATATTTCTCTTGATTCTCTTGGTAACAAGGGAGTGGGAGGGTGTAACCTTAGAGTTTCTTTCACAATCAATTTCAAATAATTTAGTTCTTGAACATCTGCTTCGTCAATATTGCTCTTTCCTGTAAATGCCTCTCGGACCTCAGCTTGTGCCTTCTCCATTACTCTTGGGTTCTTTAGTAATTCGGACATAGCCCATTCTATGGTTGTTGCAGAAGTCTCACTTCCTGCTCCAAAAATGTCCTGAAATGAATAAATAAATCATATATATATTGAGCTACCATTAAATAAAATATATACATAAAGCATTGCAAATTAAATTCTATGAAGACATACCAATATGATAGCTTTGATGTTGTCAGTTGTGAGAGAGAAGTTGAGGTCCGAGGTCTCCTCAAATTTTAGAAGCACATCAACTAGATCTTCCATGGCAGATACATCATTGTTTTTCCTTTTGGCTTTGTGGTCGCTAACAATGGAATCTAGAATCTTGTCCATTTGTCGGTGCATTCTCTCCAGCGCAGGTTTTGTCCCACTAATGAAATGAACAATTTTAAGTGAAGGGAATATATCATGCAATGCAAAACCTCCTGCGAGTTTATTCAAGTCGCGCAGCATTTGTGTGAAGAGGCTAGCATCTTTGCAAGTCATACCAAATGCAGCCATGGAAATGATGGTATTGGACCATGAGAATATCTTCTCACTGAAATTGATGGGAATTAGGCCCTGTGAAGAAGATGATGAAATGAGTTGTATAAGATACTCTACTTCTTGTTGTCTCATGGGTTGGAATGAGTGGACGCGCTTGACGCTTAGGAGTTCAGTGACACAAATCTTGCGTACTTGTCTCCAGTAGTCACTATAAGGACAGAAGACCATGCTTGAGCCATTATATGACATGATGTCAACAGCAAGAGTTTGAGGCCTTTGTGCGTAGCTGATTTCATGCTGCTTCAACACCTCTTTGGCTACTTGTGGTGAGGAAATGACTACAGCTGAAATCTCGCCGAGCTGGAGGTGCATTATGGGCCCATATTTGTTGGCCAAGTCCCTCAAAACATGGTGCAGTAAGGGACTAACCATCTTGTGCAAGTTACCGATAAGTGGTAGCTTCCATGGACCTGGTGGCTGCAGCTTCTGTGAGCGTTTACATCTCTTCCAATGTTTCAGAATCAATAAAAAGGAAGCAATGAAAGTTATGAAAAGCTGGAGTATCATATTTGGTTGCTCAACTGCACCAAAGCAAAGGTGGTGTATATATATATATATATATATGGTACTAAACCTTGTTTAATGGAGTTGAATGCTAAAACTTTATGAGGCTAGATGGTTTTTATGGTAGAAGTGAAACTGAGTAGTGCCTGATGATATTTAAGGGAAAGGCAAAATAAGAAGTAAAACAAATTCGTTTACCTCATTTTTCAGTTTTCACCAGGATGACATTTTTTCTTCTGTGCTTGCTTCCATTAAATATCAGTAATTGGGTTACAGTGGCTTGACTTTCGCTCTGCCACGTTTAATTATGATTATCACTTGGGTCTTGCTTTAATACACACTTTTGACTTTAGTGTTTGAGTGAATGAGTCTTCATTATTGACTACGCCTGAATTTGTTCGGGGATCATTATCATTATCACTTGGGTCTTTCTTTAATATACACTTTTGACTTTGGGATTTGAGTGAATGAGTCTTCAGTATTGAATATAGGGTGTACACGATTTGGTTTAAATCGAATTGGAAGTGTTTTGGAACCAAATCATTTATAACGGTTTCATTATTTTTAAACTCAGACCGAATCATAATGCTTATGAAACCAAATCAAACCAAATCATAAAAAATCAATTTGGTTCGGTTTGTCGGTTTAAGTTAATTTCTTTTTTATTTTATTTTTTTGAAAACAAAATGTCTTATTTTTTCCTGTATATAATACATCAACAGGAACCGACAATGACCAGATGACAATCACATATGCATTGTCTATAATATCAGGCACCTGTGGAAGAAACAAACAGATAGTGACTAGATGATAACACAGCATTCCCTATTTACCATTTACGAGGTATTGGGAAAAGGAAAAAAAAAAAAAAAAAAAAAATTAACTCAAAATTTCAAAAAACAAGAGAGATCAAGTACGGAATAACAAATGTTTGAAGTCCCCTACTATCACAATTATTTTTTGCCATGGCTAAAAGTATATAGACTTAGTTAAATAACAAATGTTTGAAGTCCCCTGCTATCACAATTATTTTTTGCCATGGCTAAAAATATATAAACTTAGTTAACTAATCACTATGAAGTTGAAATATATATATATATATATATATATATATATATATATATATATATAAAATATAAGTTATATAACGGTTCATAATTTACTATTTCATAATTTTGGGCCCAAGACCGGACCAAACCGCTATACGACTAGCCCAAACTGTCCAATTTAGTCCGGTCCAGTTTTTTGGTTTACCGAATCTTTTGAACGAATAATGCTTGCCGTAGGCTGCATAAGAAGGAACTTCCTTCTTATGTTGAGGTGGCCTAATAAAACTTCAACATGTGTTAAAAATTTTAAGACAAAAGAAAATAATGACTGCAGATAATAAAAACCCATTACTCTCTCACACCAACTAGTATCCCCTAACTCTCTCACACCAACTCTCCTTGCGTTAATAGAAAAAGAAAAGAATTGTCCCTCTCCTACTGTAAATATACATCTACACACATATCTATATATGTGTGTATATATATATTTTTTCTGTGTATTGATTCTTCTCTTAAATTAAGATCATTGTTTAAAATAGTGAGATCATATTTAACTCACTAATTGCTGGTTGATATATATACATGTATACATTATACCTATTTCAAAATACAGAGTTGTTTGAAAGCAAAAATAGGGCAAATTGATTGCATAAGGATCTCGAAGAGGAGGCTGTGGTGGTCGGGAAGTGATGAAGTGAAATTTTGGAAATTGTCCGGTTCTTCTATGTATTCAAGAGGAATGGGGTTAATCAGATCAAGGTCCCAAGGGTACATTCGTCCTTTAATTTTGATGGCAAGAAGTCTCTAAATTTGATCTCACTTTTTTTTTTTTTTTTTTTTTGATAAGTAAATTTGATCTCACTATTTTAAACAATGATCTTAATTTAAGAGAAGATTCAACACACACAAGATATATATATACACATACAAATATAGATATGTGTAGAAGTATATTTATAATAGGAGAGGGATACTTTTCTTTTTCTATTAACGCAAGGAGAGTTGATCTGACAGAGTAAGGGGATAGGTTTTTATTATCTACAATCATTCTTTTCTTTTGTCTTAAATTTTTTAACAAATGTTGAAATTTAATTGGGCCACCTCAATATAAGAAGGAAGTTCCTTCTTATATGGCCTAAGGCAAGCATTGTTCTTTTTGAAAACCCCTAATTGAATAGGCTTGAATTTGTTCGAGGCACAAGGTGGGTTCAATATAATTTGTGGCTTTAGACGAAAAAAATAAAATAAAATAATTTTTAATAAAATCTATTCATTATTTATGTTAGTAAATATGTTTATTAGTTGTTTTGTAATTTTTAATTTAGCACTAAGATATTTTTAATCTTTAATTTCATTAATAGTTAATTTGGCTTGTACTTTTTAATAGACACATTCTACAATATAAATAAAAATGATAACAACTCACAAGCAAAGTATATAATCTTATGGTAACAAAAATTAATAAAACTATAAAATAATTTAAGTTATTGAACAATAGAAATTGATTTCGAAGAATTTGGTCCAATGTTTCAACAAATTATTTAATATAATAAAAATAAATTCAAAATCTTCTAACGGAGTGGGATAGTAAAACCGTAAATTGTAACAAGTACCAAATGGAGAAGAGGAAAAAATATATATTAAAATGAGAAAGGAGGATATGTGAGGAATAAGAAGGGAAAAAAAGAACAAGATAAAAGTTAATAAGGTCTTTGAAAAATATAGAAAGTTTCACCAATTTCTACAGGAGAAATATATATATATATATATATATATATATATATATATATATATAAATGCATGATGTAATGAGGATGAGAGAGAGAAAATATGTACTGTTTTCTCTTTTACAAAAGAAAGAAAAAAAAGAAAAAAGAACAAAAAAAGTGATATAAGGATAAAAATAATTTTTCAGTTAAGAACTATTAAGGTTTAATAATATAACAAAAGAAAAAATTTAGGTACCATATAATATACAAAGAATTTTTTTTTTTTTTTCTCTTTAGACCCTACAAAAAAAAAATGTGGAAAATGATAGAAATCTTTTAGGCCCAAAAATGGTAAAAAAGGATAGACACAATTTTAACATTTTGCTGAACAATTATGTAATCAAAGCTCTCATATGTTGAATATTACACAGCCTAAGGGTGTGTTTGAATGGGTTGATTTGGAGGCATAGGGAGAGAAAAGAAATGAAAAGAAATGATATGATGTGAGTATGTTTGGCTGGGTTAAGTGGAGAGAAAAGAGACAATAGAGAGAAGATAGCATAGTGAAGTAAGTGGTATTAAGTAAGTGGTATTTTGATAATATCCAAAATAGCCTTCACAAATCAATATACAAAAAAGTTATTTCATTCAAGTCCCAATTATTATAAAAGGATAGGACATAAATTTGGTCACTATTCTTTCTTTTCTTTTCTCTCATCTCTTATCCAAATAAAAATAATTATCCTTTCTTGTTCTCTTCTCTCCTCTATCTTATCCAAATAAGAATAATTATCATTCTTTTCTCCCATATCTTTCAAAACATGAATATAAATTATTACTATAATTTCATTTCATTTCTTTTCTCTCTTAACTAATACGTATATTTTTTCTTTTCTTTTCTCTCCTATGTATCCAAAGTGTCACGCCCTGCCTATGAAAGTTACGCCACGCAGGCGTTGAGTAGGACGTTGCACGGCGATTGCATGGCATGGGAGTTTCTAGAGTCTTCCGGAGTAGTCTAGAGTTGTGTGGAAGATTCTAGATATGTGTAGAAATGTGTAGAAGTGTGTGGAAGGTTTTAGAGTTCTCCAGAATTGTGTGATGTAGTATGGAGAGTTTTAAAATGTTGTAGATATGTATGGAAGTGTGAAGAAGGTGGGAAAAGATTCTAGAGAATCGATCTCCACCGTCGGTTAGAATGCATCTTAGCAGTCCATTAGCGATGGGATGCCTATAAATAGGAGAATGACTTCACTTTGTAGCCATCAAGCCCTAGAGTGAGTCTTGAGAACTTTGTAGAGAGTTTGAGAGCTAACCTTGTACAAAGTATTCTTTGAAGTAATAGAAGTGTTCTTTCCTTGTCAATTTAAATACCTTAGTGTGTATGAGTGTGCAAGCCAAGTGAAGAGAGGGCAAAAGTCACTACAATACTAGTAAGCGCACGAGGGGAGTTCGTTGGCTAAGGTGGGTACGAGAGTTAGGCTGATCAAGCACTTGCTAGAGTTAAAGTAACGTCTTGGTGTCGCACGGAAGTAGCTAGAGTGGTGCTGAAACTCTAAGTCCGTAACAAAAGGCACCCTAAAGTTTTGAGGTTATAATTGGAATAGCGGTTTTCGTGTGGCTATTAAACCCAATAGGGGTAACATTAAATTTATTCGATGTGATTAGGAGTTTCTTTGTTATAGTAGTATTTGATATCACTATTCCTTATACGCGAAAGAAGTTCTACAATACTTCGAAGTACAATATCCTGAGATCTTTCAAGAGTCATACAATAACTGAGATTCAATTCTTTATTTGATTGTATCCCCTATATCTGACCCGTAATGCAATTTTAGGCATGTGATGGATCCTACCTATGCCTTATTCCCTTTTGCCAAAACCAATGGCATCTTTCAATGAAATTCAAAATCTAATAATTTTTTGATTTTTCACACTCAAACAGTACATCTACATAGACTACATGCACATCGGATTCAAGATAACTTTCAATAAGGTTCACAGTTCTATATATACATATGCAAGTCAATGATTTTTGTTTGCATTAAAGTAGTCATGTGATGATTCAATTAAATATTTAAGTTATGACTTTTGTTAAATATGTTTGATATTATACATATATTTATATATATTTACTTTAAATTTGCCACTTGCACTTCGCACGTGGGGAGAAAAGTGCATGCTACCAACAAATTGAGATTGCATAGTCATCGATGATGAAATCTTTTTGAGATCCGAAATTTGGTCAAAAGAACTCCATCGTGTTAAGAAAGAGAGAAAAAAATATAGTATATATATATAATAAAAAAAAATGATATGATTGCATCACAAGTTTTGAAATCTTTGCCAACTTCACAAGTTGGGATTTTGAAAAGAAAGTGAAATTTTATTGGTTAAAAGTATCTCATTTTATGATATCAGATATCCATAAAATCCGTATGGCAATTAACCTTTCAAAAAAATAAATAAATAAATGATTGCAACAAATTTTGGAAATTCAGGGTGATGCTTTAGAGGTTATTCATTGTATAATATTAATAATAAATAAATAAAAGAGCATGGAAATAATAATAATAATAATACTAATAAATAAAAAACCAAGGCAGATGTAATTATCAACTTCGTCTGCTTAAGGCATCTCGACATTGAACTATATTTGCTTGACCAACACCACCATCTCCAGCACTAAACAAGTACTACAAAAAACAATTGCTAAAGTCTTGAGAATGATACTATATATGCAATACAAATAACTTTCAAACGCTACGATAAACAAGATTAAATGGAATACATGGGTTGCTAATTAATCTCCAGATACATAACACCAATAATTCTATTTGCTGAACCACATGTGCCGATACCGAAGAGAACCCTCAACTAACAAACTATTGTAACAGATGTTTTCCCTCTGTTCGAAACTTCTTTTTTTTTTTTTGATAATCGTGGGTGTGCGAGCCAGCTTGCGCGCACCTTGAGATGCCACAATATACACATTCACTGTCCCCTCTTTGAATATATGGAGGAATCAGTATCAGTCAAACAGAAGGTTTATTGCCACAGGCAAGTCTAGTTCAGGTTCGGATTCAGAAAGGGGGGCAAAAAAGCAGTCAACCATATCTTTAGTTGCTTCTCCTAAACTTGGGAGGATCCCACTGCAAATTTAAATTTAGATACACATTCTAACTTTTCCGGAAAATCAATACAGAAAATTCAAAAACAGTGTACTGAACAGAATTCTAAGGATACCTTTGGTGCAAAGTCCTTGTCAACTAATCTTGCCCGAACACCCTATAGAAATTGATGAAAACAAGAGTAAGCCCAAGGGAGTTATTTGTAAAAATGTTTCTATATAAGGACATCAGAAAGCCCATACCTCGCAGAAGTCATTAGACACGTTTTTGGAGATCCAATTCAGAGACATACGATATTCACGAGCAAAAGAAGCGTTTTGCTCAACAAATTAAGGAAATGACATCTGATTATTTAATATATATATATATATACACACACTTCAACAAAACCTTTTTCCAAACTATTTGACGATAGACTATATAAATCCTATATTTTTATTCTGCTCAAGGTCATAAATCCTATATTTTTATTCTGCTCAAGGTCATAATCTCCGCCAAACCACATGTTATCATATCCTCCCTGCTAACTTCATCCACATTAACCTTGGTATTCCATTTTTCCTAGTGCTACCATCAATGTGAACTATGAGTTAAAATTACAAGTTACCAATAAAAGATGAACTAGAGAATTGCACAATATTTATGTGACAAATGCATCAAAAATATGAAACTATTATTTCAGTGATAAATTATATAAACTTCTCACAAATAGAATGCAGAAACAATTATTTCAGCCTCCCCAATCGCCTCCATCTCAAAATTTATAGGCCCATGGATGATGGGCCACCAGAAAAAATATATATATATATATATTTAGGGCAAATCAATTCAGCCTCCCCAATCGCCTCCATCTCTATTCTCGTTCTCAACTCTGAACTTGCCTTATCCCTCTTTCTGCAACTGCAAACTACAAAATCTACAAGAATCAGAAGTTCGAAACCTGCCTCCATCTCTATTCTCGCTCTCAACTCTGAACTTGCCCTCTCTCTCTCTCTCTGCAACTGCAAACCACAAAATCTACAAGAATCAGAAGTTGAAAACCTATTACCTATATCAAAACCCATATCGGCATATCATTTCAGATTGTTCAAAAAATCAAAACCCATATCTTTCAGTTTCCATCGCCCGCTGTTCCAGTTCGCAAGCTTCAGCCGCTGTCTCTCAACTCTCAAGCTTGCCCCCGCCTCTCTCTCTCTGCAACTGCTAACTTGTATGTATGGGTTTTGTTTTTATTTTTTTCTATCGTTTATACTGGGGCTAAGTTATTTGCCTGTAACAGGGTTTGTTGGACTTAATTATTGGGCTTGCATTGGTTTGGATTGTCATCCTTTTGTTTGGCCCAAGTCCCTATATAATTACTGTATTAATGGGAAAGTGTTAATTATGACAAAAATTGGGCAATTACAAAAAAGCCTCGCCTCGCCTCGTAGCACCAGTTCGTTTGGCGGAGCAAAGAAGACTGTGAGCCGCAACCAAGTGTGGGCTTAGAGAGAGAGAGCGATAATGCAGAGATTGAAAGTATTGTTACCAGTGAAGCGTTCGTTGCATAGATATGAATTTCTCTCTCATCACAGAACCTTATCTTCTCTACCCAACTACGCCCAACACGATGATCTTCAAGACCAGGCAAGTTTATCTGAACACTCTCTCTCTATATATATGTATTTGTGTGTGTGCGCATTTGAATTGGTCAATATTTTGAAACCCATTTAGCTCGTTCTCAAATTTGTTTGTATCCATGTTGGTCTTTGAAGAAAGCCATATCGTCTTTCTATGTCCAAGAAATGTTCTTTATTCTATCTGTAAATTCAGGTTTTAGTTGAGGGAAGAGTTAAATCAAGAGCAGCTATACTCAACAGACCATCTACACTAAATGCTCTCACTAATCCCATGGTGTGTCCTCTGTCCTCCAATTTTCTCCCTTTTTATTTTGTGGGTTTTTCCAATAATGTCCTTTAGTTCGTAGCCATATCTAAATTTTGTAAAACTTTGTTTTCCATTCCAGATTGGTAGGTTGAAAAGACTGTATGAATCATGGGAAGAAAACATAGATATTGGGTTTGTCATTATGAAGGTAATATATTTTTGTGCACCTTTTTCCCCAACTGTTGGAAGTCCAGGTTTTTTAGGAATCGTAAGTTACTTTTGATTTCATCTTTGAAGGGTAGCGGCAAGGCATTCTGTTCTGGTGCTGATGTTGTTGCCCTCTATCAGTTGCTTAATGAAGGTGGATCGCCCTCTTTTGTGTGTGTGTGTGTTTTCGGAGTCCAGCATTTGAATTCTTTCGGATTAAGGTATCATCTTAACTAAGGTTGATTTTGGGTACATTTTCTATTGCAATAGATTTCTGTGCTTCCTTTTATTTGCTTTGGAAACAACTTGAGAAATATTAGTATAAAAACTTGATTGATTTCATTACTAGTGTATATCAGATCATTTCACAAGGAACAATTTTACATAGTTCCTGCTCACTGAGTAAAACTACTAGTTCTAATGTACATACTTGACTAATATTTATGGTAGAGGTGTGGGACTATGTAAAATTGTTCCGTTATGGAATACACTGCATACCTTGGTGGAGAGGATATTATTAAATAGAACTAGTGATAGATTTGATGATTAATTAGCGTTGGATTTTATTTGATTGCTATTTCTTGAATATTAAGGTGTAAAACTTGAAATGGCCTTCGATTTTTGGCACCCCCCCTTTCCCCTCCAAAATTTTAAAATCTTCCATTTGTTACAAGGGGTGGAGAAAATAGGGAACAAAATTTTGGTTATTTGCAGTTCTGGATACAACCATGGCGCACCCTTGGATTTTCTGGCTGTGTACCCTCTTCGTTTCCACATCTAGTGGGTCACCTCCACAGGATCTTCTGTCCCTGGACCTTCTCCTTTTCCAACATGAGCGTCCGGATGTTGTTCAATTGGACAGGAAGACAAAAATATTGAAATTTTCTTGTGTTGATCAGATTTCTGGGAGATTATATGTGGTTTCCATGGTTGGACGGTGATTGTAGCCATCAATATACTGCAAAAATTTGGGCTTATGGTGGATTTAATAACAAAATAGCAACACTTTCTTTGTGTGTTTGGTTTGTTTAAACTTTAATGATTTTGGTGTGTGTGTGTGGATTGTATTAAGGGTAAACAAACCAAACATACAAAGAAATGAGTCACAATAAGTGCATAGCTTCTTGAAATTATTTATATAGACATTTGTAGATCTTCTGATGTTTTATCTTTTAGAGGAGAAAAATATTTTATCGCCTTTATAGTTGATTTTTCACGTTATGGATATGTCCATTTGTTACATGAAAAATCTCAAGCAGTGGGTATTCTTGAAATATACATAAATGAGGTTGAAAAACAACCAGATAGAAAAGTGAAAATCATAAGATCATATAGAGGTGGTGAATATTATGAAAAGTATGATGAAATGTTTGCTAAACTCCTTAAAATATATGGCATTTGTGCTCAATACACTTTGCTATACATGCTACATCAGAAGCGTGTAGCTGTAATACATAATCGTACTCTTGTGGAATTAGTTAGGAGTATGTTAAGTAATTCCTTGTTACCCATAATGTTGTGGATATTAAGTAATGTAAAGGGTACAAGTTTCACTATCATAAACATAGTACGATAATTATTGAAACTGATAATGTCAGATTCATTGAGAATGGTGAAGTCAGTGGGAGTGATAAAAATAAAAATGTGATCATTCAAGAAATTATGATATAAATTTATTTATCCATAACTTGTAAGGAAATAATTGTTCCTTCAGTTGTTGAACCGTAAAATAACGAAAAACAATTGAATGATCAATAACTCCATAATGAGATTGTTACCAATGAATAGATTGTAGATGAACATAAGGACTAATATTAAGACGATCTCAAAGAGAAAGGAGATCTGTTATTCCAGATGATTATGTGATATATTTGCAAGAACCTGATTTTGATATATAATGAGATATATACAAATTTGGTTACATATTCACAAACCATTAACAGTAATGATTTTACTAAATAGATTAGTGCCATGAATGAAGAGATTATAAAGAAACCTTCTCTCCAGTATCTAAGAAGGAATCTTTTAAAATATCATGGCATTAATAACTTATTATGATTTAGAGTTATATTAAATGGATGTGAATACAACTTTTATAAATGAGAGTTTATAAGAGGAAATCCATATGGAATAACCTGAAGGCTTCACATTAAAGGGTAAATAATTCATGGTCTGTAAACTTAAGATGTCAATATATAGATTTAAACAAGTTTCCTAACAATGGTATATTAAGTTTAATGATACCATTATTTATTTTAGTTTTAAGGAAAACACTGTTGATCAGTATATATACTAGAAGGTTAGTGGGAGTAAGTTTATATTTCTGATTCTATATATTGATGATATTTTATTTGCTAGTAGTGATTTTAGTTTATTATATGAAACTAAAAGTTATATCTAAGAACTTTGAAATAAATGATATGGATGAGGCTTCCAACGTGATAGGAATAGAAATATTTCATGATAAATCACATGAATTTTTAGGATTGTCTCAGAAAGCATATATTGAAAGAATTCTAGAAAGATTTGGTATGTAACATTATTCAACCAGTATTGTTTCATACATAAAAGGGGATAATTTCAGCCTAATGCAATCCCAAAGAATGAGTTAGCTAGAAGATAAATAAACGAAAAATATTCCTTATGCATATATTGTAGAGTTTGATGTATATACAAGTTGGTATGTGACAAAAGATTATATACTCACACTGAGGAAGACATTTTTTAATTGGTTATTTGTTTCTTTTTGTTGGAAGAACAATATTATGAAAAAGTATAAAGTAATTTTTTATTACTTTGTCAATTATGAATTTTCAATTTGTAGCATGGTTTGAGGTTACAATTTATTATTGCAGAATTTATTTCAGGATTTGGAGTTATGGGTACCATTTTCAGATTGCTGAAAATTTATGCTGCAATTGTTGATCTTCTTGTATGAAAAATGATAGGTATTCTAAAGTTGAAATACTTTATCATTAAAGAAGATGTTTAGAAATAACGAATGTCAATTGAATACATAAGCACACAATTTATGATTGCAATCCGTTAACGAATGGACTACCACCTAAGACATTTATGGAACATGTTAAAAGAATGGGTCCTGAATGTAATCAATGATGATTATTTTTTAATTGTGGATTGTGTAACAGTGCTTATATATATTTGACATTTTGCGCTGATTAAATTTATTTCTGATATTTCCTATTAATTAATGTAC